TGAACTAGGGTAAGGAGCTGGCATTGTCCTGAGGGTAACAGCACTGAAGGGAGCAAGGGAGTGGTCATATCTGCATCTTCACATCTCAGGTGACTTGGAGAATAGCCTGGGAGAAAGGAGCCAGTTGAAAGACAATCACACTCTTAATGCCCAAATTGTGGTCTCATTTACCCACTAAAAGGAGCCGCAGCTCCTTGGAGAAATGGTACATAAAGGTCTGCACAGGAAATGTATAGGATGAACCTGAAACAATTATTGCAGAAAGCAAAGAAGCTATCAAAGCTGACTAGTATAATTTACAAAGACTCGGGGGCTAACCTAAAGAGGCTCCTACTGGCCAGAGATGGGATTGTTTCAGCACTGATAATTACAAGTGCAATGGATTGAAATCAAATATTTTAAAATTTATAATGATATTTTTATAATATCACCTTTGGAGGATGCTAATGGAAATAAACACTACCAGTGAAGTTGTGAATTCTATATTTAAGTACCAGTTTACAGGAAACACAGGAATCAAAGGACAATGTTAAATGACATCACAGGATGCAAACAGCAAAATCCAGAAAAACTAAGGACAAACAACTTGGTTACTGAAAAAAAAAAAAAGGGAGGGACAAAGAAATAAGAACAAAACCAAAAGAGAGAAGGGAGCCCAGAAATTAAAGCATATGAGCCATATCAAGAAAATGTAATAAATGTAATGATATAGACCTTGTTTGAATCCTGATTAAAATAAACCATAAAGCGAGAGGGAGGAGGGAGAGAGAGAGAGATTTTGGGATTTGATCTGTGGTAACCATTCTTCAGCACGGTCCCCAAGGATCCTGACCTCACAGTATTCATATCCTCTTACATTGAAGCAGGCTGGCATATATGACTGAAGGATTACTGCAGAAGTGTGAGTGACTTAGGAAGCTATGCTATTCATAAAAAGGACATTGCAACTTCTTCCTTGGCTCCTTGGTTTACTTGTTCTTGGGGAAACCAGGCACAGGTTCTGAGATCCTTGAAGCTGCCCTGTGGAGAGGCCCTACAGAGAGGACCTGAGCTCCGTATGCCCCCAACAGCCAGCACTGACTTGCCAGCCAGTATAAAATGAGCCACCTGGTAGGAAGATCCAGTACCAGTCAAGCTTTCAGATGACTGAAATCTCAGGAGACTCTGAGCCAGTACTGCCTAGTTAATCTACTCCCGAATTCCTGACCCACAGAAACTCTGAGCAACAGTAAATGTTAATTGTTTTAAACTGCCAAATTACACAACAATAAATAGTACCGACACTGACTTGTTGATGATTTAAAGAAATAATGCTAATAATATTATCGTTGATTGTTCTTTAAAAGTTATCTTTTAGAGATGCATACTGAAATATTTATAAATGCAATAAATAATATGCTGAGATTTGCTTCAAAATAATACAGTTGGGTGGCAACAGAGTGGAGGGTATAGGCGAAGTGAATGGTCATGAGTCTATATTGGTTGTAGCTAGACAATAGACTATTCATTGTCCTATTCTCTCTACTTTTTTGTATGGTTGAAATTTTCTATAATAGACAGTAAAAAAAGGTGGGAGGAGGGTATACTTACCATGGTCCAGGCAAAAGAAAAGACAGTCTGAAATAGAGCAGTAGTTGTAAGGATAGGAGGAAAGACAATAGAGTAATATATTCAGAAGGTAAAATGTCCAAGCTTTAGTGATTGAATAGATGTGAGGAAATAAGGCAGAAGACTCAAGGGTGGGTGACTCTCAGAAGTCTGGATGGTTCCTACCAGCCACTTAACAGCTGTGTAAACTTGAGCAAATTACTCAACCTTTCTGTGCCTCATTTGCCCATGTGCAATGTGGAGGTAAAAACAGTACTTACCTCATAGGGTTACTGTGAGGTTTAAGTCAATGAAAATATATAAAGCACTTAGAATAGTGTTTAGTTAAACCTCTAAATGTTAGTTCTTCCATTGGGGAGGTCCAGGATTGGGAGTTGGATGGTAGTTCTGGCTTTGGACATGTCGAGAATACAATCGTGGGGGACTTCCATGCAGATGCTAGGAGGCTTTTGCATAGGACTCTGAAGCTGGAGGGAATGGGAAAGAAGTAGATGATTTGGAACATTTTAAAACCCAAAAAGTGAGTAGTCAACTCCTTGAACAGACAGACACTGCACCGGAGGATATACAAATGGCAAATAAGCACATGAAAAGATGTTAAACATCATTAGATACTAGGCAAATGCAAATTAAAGTGAGAGCAAAACCACTATACACCTATTAGAATGGCTAAAAAAATTTTTTAGTGATAACACCAAGTACTAATGAGAATGTGGAGCAACCAGATCCCTCATACATTGTCAGTGGTGAGATAATAATGGTATAACCCGAAAAAACAATTTGGCAGTTTCTTATAAAATTAAACATATTAACCATAAACCCAGCAATTGCATTATTGGGTATTTATCTAGCTTAGTGCTTCATACCTACTAGGTGCACAACGAATGTATGTTGCATAAGCAACAGCGTGGGGAACTGAAGGGATGAAAGAGGAGGCCTGGGGCAGGGAGGAAGGTCGTGTCCTGACGTGTCCTGGCTTCAGAGGGTCAGGAAGAGAGGTAAACCCATCCCTCCTGCTCTCTGGTCAACCCTGCCTACCTTGGGACTGGCTGTAGGAACAGCGCCCACCACAATGCCAAGCTGGGAGGCCGGATTGGGAGGGTTGGTTCCTGGGAAAACGGATATGAACGAGAAAGAGTTCCTGTCTGTCCAAGTCCACATATTCATATTCTCTGTACTTCGTGCAACGCATGTAGGTGTACGGAGATGGTAGCCAGGAATTCCGAGCGTTGGTCTCAAACGGTGAAGGGAAGGCACCCTGTATTTCCCCTTCTTACCACAAGGTGGCAGTTCAGGCCTGCAAACCTCTCGGAAGGGAGCTGCCGCCATCGCACCACCTGGTGGCAATCTATTTTTCCAACTGTCTGTACGAAATTTTTCTTTTTTTGAGTGTAAAAAATCGCAAACAAAGAATATGTGTGGCAAACTTTAATATGCGATTTTTAAATAATTCTTTGTATGCTCCTGCCTTAGAAAAGGCCCCTAGTGCTACCTTGTTGGCTTCTACACGAGTCAACTGCAGAAACCCGATTTCTTAATGGCTTCTGGAGTCTTAGGCCCCAGTTGCCCTCTGCCCAGACTCAGCCTTTTCTACTCACTCTCTTGCAGGAAACATTCACGGCATTTATCAGGGACCTGTCTCCAGTCGTCCTCTTCCTCTATGTCCTTGTCACATTGGGACAAGTGGTCCTGCACCACTCAGCTCCCCTGTTCCCTGATCTTCATCTCTCCAGTGACTTTCACCTCCACCTCATTTCAGCCAGCTGCATCTGATATAAAAGTCTAGACTTCTACTTTCAGACCGCAACCCACATCTTTCCATCTCTCACGTCCTCTGTCCCCTTCTCACCTGCACTTTGGTTGCACTGAAAGCCCAGCCGAGCCCCTTACCCCAAACACAGACCTACTTTATCCTGCTCCTTTCAATACTCTCCCAGCATCACCTCTCCTTTGTTGTGATTTTGAATGCAGACTCTGGAGCTGAACTGCCTGGGTTTGAATCACAGCTCTTCCACAGACAAGCTTTATCTTGGACAATTTACTTAAGCAATCTGAGTCTTACTCGCTCATATTAAAATGGGGAGCACAGTAATGGTTAACCTAAAAAGACTGTGGTGAGGATTAACTGAGTTAATATGTTTAAGCACTTAGAACAGTGCCTGGCACACTGTACATGCTGTACGTGTGTTTGCTCTTATATAGAATTATCATTATTATTTTTGCTCGAGCTGGAGCCTAGGGTATATGACCTCACCTGCCACCCTAGCACTAATCCCCAATCTTTCTTCTCTAGTTTTAGAACCAGACCTCTATATCCTTCTAAGAAAAGAAACAGCAACCACAAAAATCCCACTGTCTTGCAGGTTGGTGCCACGACATTCCTGTTTTTTTTTCTGGGCTCCAGGCTCCTTTGAAAATCCTTGATTTGTGCTTAGCCCGGTCCCTCTCCTCTATCTACAGTGACCATTGCACATCTTCACCACTTTCTCCATCCACGTTGTACGAAATTCAAAAACTACAAAAGGGTAAAGTGAAAAGAGCCCCTTTGTAGCAAATTGGTAAACATGGCCCCCATCTTTTGTAGCTGCACCCATGGTTGTGTGATGACCACTCTGATCCTCAGCACATTCCTTACTCTGTTCTCATCTCTTGAAACCCTTCCGCTGGGCCCTAGAGCTCACAGCTCTTCATCAGCAAAGTCCCTGTGGATGTAGCTTCTTTGAATGTCCCTTTGCCCTCTCAGCTTTCCCTAAGGACGCTGTTCTCCCTGCAGCCTGTTCAGGTGAACGCTGCTTTCTCTCCCTCTGCCCATGTGCCAGGGAGTGTGTGGGGTCTGGATGGTTCCTACCAGAAGTGTGTGAGCACCCTCCTTGCTCTTTATCTTGGACAATTTACTTAAGCAATCTGAGTCTTACACGCTCATATTAAAATGGGGAGCACAGTAATATTTAACCCAAAAAGACTGTGGTGAGGATTAACGTAAGTGCTACTTACAGACTGTTCTTCCCTAAAGTCCCTCAGCTTTGAGTCTCATGTCAACAGACTATACCACCCACTCTGCCTCTCTTTTCCTCTTATTTATTAGCCCCTGGCTACTTACTCTAGTTTCTTGAAGAGTTTGTCTCCTACCTCTCTATCACTCCCTCTGATACTAATTTTGTTCTAATTCTTGGAGATTCAATATCCATACCGATAATCCTTTCAATACCCTGGCCTCTCAGTTCCATGATCTCTTCTCCTCCAATAACCTCACCTTACCTCGCTCTATCTTATATCTTATCTGAGCCACTCACTTCCATGGCATTCTCTGGTCCTTGTCATTACGGATAACTGGAACCCCTCTGTATTAGTGTCCCAAGGCTGCCTTAACAAAGTACGACAGACTGCGTGGCTTAAACAACAAATTTATTGTCTCACAGTTGGGGAGGTTAGAAGTCTAAGATCGAGGGGTTGGCGGGATTGGCTCCTTCTGAGGGCTGTGAAGGATAATCTGTTCCAGGCCTTTCCTCTAACTTCCAGTGGTTCGCTAGCAATCCTTGGCATTCCTCGGCTTGTAGATGCATCACTCCGATATCTGTCTTCATCTTACATGGTGTTCTCCCGGTGTGCATGTCTGTCCTGGTCCAATTTTCTACTTTTATAAGGACACCAATCATACTGGATTAGGACCCACCCAAATGACCCATTTTAACTTAGCTATATCTGTACAGACCCTCTTTCCAAATAAGGTCACATCCTGAGGTCCTGGGGTGAGGACTTCAACTCTTTTTGGGGAGAGGGGACACAATTCGACCCATACCACCACCCATAATCTCAGTTGCATGCATCCCAACCTCTGACCACCACCTCATTTCTTCCCAACATCTTTCTTGCTCATTCCCACTAGTACTCTGTCTCCAAAATTCCTTTGAGCCTACCAGGACCTACAACCTATTGATTCTCCTTTCTCATGACTCTGTCCTCTATTCTCTTTTTTATTTATCCAGTGTAAAGCCCATAGCCAAGTGATAGAACCACTTCCTTGCGTACACCTTCAATTTCCCTTGCCTCTCCCTATCCTTTATTTCATTCATTTGGTAAATTGGCAGCCCTGGCTCATCCAACTTGTTGCCTATTCGGCACCTAACATGGCAGGAGAAAAACTCCCAATATATTCATGTTCATACGTCTCACTTTTTAAATTTTAAATTTTTAATCACCTCAAGTGGACCTTTCATGCTGTGTGGTAATCCTACCAGATTCCCTGTCTAGTTATCCTTTTGAGCTGCCAGATGACTCTCATACTATCTCCTCTCTTCTCAAAACTCCAATACCTCTGTCTCCCATCCTTTCTTTTATCTGATGACCTTGATTATTTCCTTGAGAAAATAAAAGCAATCAGAAGAATACTTCTATAGGTAGATACTACCACAGCCCCCCAATTACCTATCTCATGCCTTCCTCCTTCCTGTACCATAGATGCTGCTTAAGGCCACTTGTGCATGAGAGCCCCCAAATTCTCTCTTCTTCCTCCTGCATCCCCAAATTTTCTCTATTGTATCATTTCCACAAATGTAAAAAAATGCTTTAATTTCTTTTATCTTTAAGAAACCCTCTCTTAGGGCCCGGGAGCAGCAATTCCCCAATAGCAATGAGCATACCTGATGCCCAGATTCTGGTTTCTAAATATCATTTCCCACTAAAAGAAACCAGGATGTCTTTAGCTGATTCCAGGGCTGGGTTGGGGAAAGTCCAAGATGAATCTCAGGCATGTTACATTATGCCAGAAAGTACGTCCTCAAAGAATGATAAGGATTTGTCAGAAAGACAGAAGCCAGCTTGAAGGAACTCCTACTGGCCAAATCGTGGAGAATTTGAGCATCAAAGTAAATAATGGTAGTAGTGGATTATAAACCGTTGACTAAAATAGGAAACCATGAGTCCATACTGACATAAATAACTGCATAATAAATAGTTTGATGAAAATGAAATATTTACATAGTTTCAAAATACCTCCTCACAATGTTTTTGTTAATTATAAAGGGAAGAATAGTAAATGTATAATAGAGAAGCCTAGCAAACACCAATTTAAGAAATGAAAATGAACGTCCTTAGTAATGAGTCAAATAGAAATCATGGCCTGTAAAGTTTAAAAGTGTCAAGGTCATAGAAGTCAAGGATAGATCGAAGAATTATTCCCGATTGAAGGAGACTAAAGAAATATGACAACGAAATGCACTGTGTGATTTTTGAATCAGCTAAGGGACATTATTTGTACAACTGGTGAAAATTGAATATGGTCTGCAGATTCCTGATTTTGATGATCGTATTGGGGTACATGAAAATGCTCTTATTTGTAGGAAATAAACACTGAAGTATTGGGGTGATGGAGTATCAAGTTGGCAACTTACTCTCAAATAGTTTAGGAGAAAGTTATATTATACTTGAAACATTTATGTAAGTTTGAGATTCGAAAATATGCCTTAAAATATTAAAAATCTAATTTATTGACCCCACTCCCCTCTCCTGCTCTCTTCTCCCTTATTCCTTAGAAGAGTTGTCTGTACTCCAATTCTTCTTTTCCCATTTTTTTCTTGAACCACTCCAAACAGCTTTCATTTCCATCACTGCTCCTGTTAATGTCACCAATGATCTCCATGTTGCTAAATCCAAAAGGCAGTTGTCAATCCTCATCTTGGCAGACACATCAGCAGAATTCGACTCTGATTAATCTTTCCTGACATATTCCCTTCGCTTATATTCTTCACAGTCTCTCGGTGCCATCTTTTTGGTCTCCTGCGCTGTTTCTTCTTCGTTTCCTCTGCCCCTAAAGAAATGGAGTATCCCAGGGTTTAGGACTCACAGCTTTCCTCTTCTTACTCCCTTACTGACTTCATCCAGTCCCCTGGCTTTAAATAACACCCATACGCTAATGACTTACTATGCTTTATTATCTCCAGCCCAGGCTTCTTTTCTAAACTCTGGACTTCTATAACCAGCTGCTTACTCCACATTTGCTGTTGGATATTGTCAAATAGATATCTCAAGTTATCATGTCCAACATTTAACTCCTGATCTTCCCTCCCCCAAGTTTGCTCTATCCACGGTCTTCCTCATATCAGTTAATGGCAACTTCTTCCTACCAGTTGCTCCAAACACCTTGGAGTTGTCCTCGACTCCTCCTCACATCCACTACATCAGCAAATCTTGTCGCCTATAGAGCCTCCACCCCAGAACAAGTCGCCGCCATCTCTCACTAGAGTTACCCAAGAGGCCTCCTTACTGGTTTGCTTCCATACTTGCCTTCTACAGTTTATTCTTATCACTCTCTAATGGCTCCCCATTTTACTTTGAGTAAATACCAAAGTCACTACACCGGGCTACAAACTACATGATCACTTACTCCTACCAAATTAGCTAAGAACAAAAAGTTTGATAATATTCAGTGATGTGGAAGGTAGTCCCTCTTATATATTGTTGAAGTGCAATTTGTTAATGTCTATAAAACATTTAAATTAAGCATATTGTATGACCCAGCAATTCCATTTATAGAATTTTATCTATGGAGATACACAAGCGGCCAAAGACACATATGCAATGTTCACTGCAGCACTGCTTGTAATGGCAAAAACATGGAACATCTATACACTCGAAGACATGAGAATGGAGCTTCATGGGCTTTGGGAAGAGCTTCAAGACATAGTCAGTGCTACAAGAAGCAGATCAGTAACTGTAGGATAACCTCAAAGTCTAATAAAAGGTCAGTCTAAACAAGCCATGTGTATTTAAAAAATGATTTGAAAGGTTTACCAATCAACTCGAATTATGTCTGGGGAGTGAGAATGGGAGTTGAAGTATAAAATAGACTCTTCCTCTTCCTTGGATAACATTCTATTCAATTTCAATTACCTTTTTAAGAAACTATGAACATGCACTTTTATAATTTGCATGAGATCTTCCCCACCACAGTATCACACAAATGCTCAACTGTATTTACTTCAATTTTGCATGTCTTTAAAAAATTTATTTATATGCTAGAATGAACTCATACAGGATTATAGAATGGGGTTTATACCTAGAGTTTTCTGCAAAGCATGATTATTTCTTTTTTTAAACTTTTTTTTTTATAAAAGAAAACATACTCTGTAGAAAATCTATAAAAGGGTAAAGAAGAAAATAACCACTGGCAACCCAGAGAAAACCTCAGCTAACATTTTCAGACATTCCTACAAAAGGCGGGGCGAGCAGTGAGGTGGAACCTGAAATCTTTTCATAGTCTTTTGCTGATGCCTCGATGCCATTTGGCAGGGATAAGGGGGGTCTGGCAGCTCTGGCTTCTTTTGTTCAAGAACTCCAACAGAAAGGGTCATACTGAATGTTGAGGCAAATATTGACCCATTGTTCATGGAGAAAGCAATGAGGTCACTTTAATCCTGCAAGCAGACATTGCAAACTCAGATATAAAATGTTCTGTCATAGTGAGGATCTAGTGGTCTTTTAGCAAAACCGTTCCTTAAAGTTCAAGAAGAAATTGGTTTCTCAGGAGTGTCTGACTCACCTGTGTGTCCCCCACAGAATTACTTCAGATGGACTATTCGGTCTGTGCAGAGGGTGCACACAGTTATGTGGGATGTGGGGTGGCTCGCCTGAGCCCATCACCCTTAGCAGCATAATGGGGGTGGGGGAAGATTTAGGAACAAGAGCTGCTCACCTTGGAACAGTTAGCAGGAAAGGGCTGGCTCCACGTGCCAGGTGTAGTTAATGCTACCTTGCTTTGGTGACTGACAGACATTTCCCCAGTCAGCCCATACCGCCCCAGGGACCAAGGTACCACCTTGCATTCTCAGACACTGGAGAACAGAGCCTGGTAGCAGACTGACCAGACCCTGGTGACATAAACAGATAGACCCTTTGGTCTTAGCTTTTAAGAAGTGAAGTCCAAAGTCAAACCCACCATGCCAAGCTCCTTCCCAGAAAGGAAATACGGTAAATATCCTGCAGGCAAACAATTCTGTTCTAACAAGAAAATGAGGCAATCTATCAGGTTCAAACAGAGAAAAGGGCTTGAAAAACCAAGAAATAGTAAGTTAGTAGAAGGATATAGACTTCTTCGAGCCCACTTGGCAAGAGGCAGAGATTTGTAACTTGATGATACCATACTTAAGACCATCAAAGCAGAAGGGATGGTGGGAGAGAAACCTGGAAGTAAAAGATGGAAGAAAATGGGATCTTGACACTTAAAGAAAATCGACATCTGACTTGACCCTTTTCTAAGTCTCGTTCATTTCTTTCATGATGACATCAACTAAGGGAAACATGAGAGAGTGAGGCCAGGGTGGGGGAGGGGCTAGGAACAGAAGCAGAGAGCTAAGGAGAAAGTCTGGCTGATGGGAACAGCTGGTCTCGCCCAATCTTCTAATACTCCATAGGTAAGGAAAACCAAGGCCTGGAGAAGAAATGCAACTTTCCCCATAAAACCAGACTGTGTGGCTGACTCTTGACTTCCAGTCCAGTGCTCTCACCCCTGCCCACTGACTCTCATACTATCTCCTGCCCATCAAGGGTGATCCACAGGCTAAAAGGGGAAGAGAAGAGAAAAGTCCAGGCAGAAGAAAGCAAAGCTACGCACCCAGAAAGGAACTACTCTCTCCATCACTTCTCAGCCCTGGGAAGCCATTGAATGTTTTCAAGACTCGATATCTTCATCTGTGAAATGAGGATGATGGCGCTTCCCCCAACAGGGCTATGGTAGAAGTTAGGGATCAGGAGGCTGGCAGCATGGTGGGTGTTTTATTTTAATGGGAGGGTTCCCCCCGCCCCCACTTTCTGGAGCTTTGGGGAGCTGGAGACACTGTTGGAAGGAGCTAGCATAAAGGGAGGTGCTGACACCCTTCTCGCCCCCAACCATCTTTAGACTACTCAGAGCATAAGAGAGTCCAACGGTATAAATGAGTTGTGACAGGGCCCAGCACTACTCCCTGACCTCGGCTCAGCAAGCCTGTGGTGTCAACACAGATCATGTGTCTACTACAGGGTCCTCACGCCCACAATGAACCGTCCAGAGTCCCAGCCACAGTGCTTGGGGTGCCAAGCATGCATGCTGCTCAGGTGGCTTCCAGACTGTACGCCATGGGGAGGTGGCAAGTGTAGGCTATGTCTGGTGTGAGCTCCAGACAAGTCATCCCGCACCTTGCAACACGGGCAGGAAGGGGGCCTTCCTAGGCCCAATTCAGCGAGCCAACGAGATGAGCTGGCTGCCACCTGCTTCACCTTCAGCTCACTGCCCAGCTGCATGCCCAACAGGAAATCCAAAGGCTGGAGGGCCTAAACCACCCCCTGGTCTTCTCATGCCATGTGAAGCATCTGAAACGTGGAAGTCCAGACCCTTCCACACAGCTCCGCTCCTGGCCTCCCCATCCTAAAAGGAGACTCTGAGAGCCATGGGAACGTCTGGTTGAAACGAGGTAGAAATTGGGGCAAGAAGATCCAGGGAAAGCTCAAGTTCTGAGTAGAAATCAGAAAGTAGCAACAGTTTGAGACTCAGTTGTGCCTCACTTCATGGCAACAGGCTACACACTCAAATCTGCCTACCCTCCAGCCTCTGAAGCTCAGTTTTCAGGTCCCACCCCACCTGGTACAGACGGGGGTTTTAAGTGCATGTCCACGGCCACCATCCGCACGCACAGGGCAGCCCCGCTTTCTGCCCTGGCCAAGCCATGGGCCAAGAGAATCTCCCCAACCCAGGCACCATTCCGAGCCTAAGCAGGCCCCAATTCCTCAATCCTTAGTTACCTTCTAGGTGACTCTAGCCAGCTCCTCTGGTAGCGGGGCTGCCTCATAAGGGTGCCTGGGACAGAGTCTCACTCGCACCCAGGTGCCCAGTCTCCATCCACCTGTCCACCTGAGTCCTCTCACAGAACAAGCCGAGTCAGGGGCAGGGAGGGGCCTCCACATTTTATTAGGGATACTGCAGAAGCAGAGGCTGGAAGCAGAGCAGCCATATTTATCACAACAGATAAGTTAACCGCAGTGCGGGGACTGGGGCGTGGTGGTGGTAGGGACCGGGCCTGGAGCATTAATATAAAAAAACAAAAAAAGACAAATGTACCCCAAAGACATGGGGGTGGGGCAGCACCATCCAGACAGCAGGGAGGACCAGGGCAGACAGAGAGAGAAGGCAACTTGGCCCCTCGCCCCCAAACTCCACCAGAACAGGGCCCCCGGGCTGGCCCCGTGGGGGCTTGGGGCAGGGAGCAGCCAGGTTGGGTGGAGGTGGCACAGCTGGCGGGCAGGAAGCCCAGCACCACAAGATGGCTCAGCCTGAAGTAGGAGCTCGGGCTGGGACACAGCAGCCTGGAAACCCAGTCCCTCGGAGGAAGAGCCTTACTCTGGGTGAGAGGAGGGACCACAGGTGGGGCCTCTCCCTGAGCTGAGAGCGGTCATCTCCTCCACAGCAGCGGTGGGCAGTGGGGTGTGCAGGGACTCCCTCCACTTTTTTATCCATTTGTCTCCTTGGTCCCTTCAGGGAGGAGCCCCACTGACCCCCAGGGGCGGGGCCTGAGGAAAGCCAGTCCAGTCTATGGTCCCCAGCTCCAGAGGGGGGGCCATGGCGCAGCCCCTCAACCCTGACTCCCACAGGAGGAGAGTGAGTCATAGAGTGAGTCGCTGAGAGACTCTGAGGTTTCCAGCCCTGGGGGACCTCCGCTGGCCACTCTGCCTTCCTCGCCCATGTCTGATGTGCTGGGGGTGCGGCTACCCCCAAATGCTGGGCCCTGGGGCGTAGGGGCTGGGCGGCTCGGCTCCAGGTTCCGTTTCCGGTCCACGGGCAGGTCCTGGAAAAGGAAAAGCAGCTCAGGGAGAAGCAACTCTCGCTTTCAGTCTGAAAGGCATTGGGCTCTGCCCCAGATGGGGCTCTGCCCTTGGGATGTGAGCTCCGCAGATGGGGCCCACTGAGGTGGGGCACTCAGAGGAAGTAGGCTGGAGGCATGACTGAGCAGGTCCCACCAGGGTTCTGGGGAAGGAGAGAAACCCTTTCCTCAAAAGGGGACTGAGGGAGGTGGGTGGGCGGCTAGAGGGGCATCCAAAGGGCTGTGTCCTCTCAATCCTCCTCCCCGACAGGACTGTACCTGACTGGAGACTTGAGAGCATACTGGTCTCCCCTTCATTCACCTTGCCCTCCAGTCCCATCCCCTCTCCCCTTTGGCCATGCTCACCATGGGAGTCCTGGGCAGCCCCTCCAATTGTCGGGATGGGCACAGGAAAGGGTCGGCAGAGCCACCAGCTGCCCTTGAGTTGGGGAAAGTCCAGTTCTTGGCCAGCTGGACAGGAGGGGGAGGGCCTGGGTCTTCACAGGGATCTATGTGGTGACAAGGGGAAGGTAGGTAGTGGTGGGTGAAGCTCTGCGGACGGCCCACCCACCTGCCTGGAGACTCACCATCAGGACAGGTCTGATGGCCCCGGTGGCTAGGAGCAGCAGTGAGCAGTGCAGGGAAGGCTGGCATGCTGGGGTGCCGCCCGCTCACCAGCAGTTCTTCTATGCCTGGCACCTCACGCTCCAACGTGTGGGCACGGCGGGGGACTTTGGTGAGGGGTGGGGGCCGAACTGGCGGAACTCCGGGTGGGGGGTCCAGCCGCGGTGACTTGGTCTTGGGAGGATTCTTGCTGGGGGTGCCACTACTGCCATGGTCTGGGGGCGGAAAGGTCCCAATGCCGCTGTCCAGGGTTCGAGTCAAGGAGCTGCAGGCTGGGGAGGGGAGGGTAAGTCACAAATGTGAAGCTGCAATTGTCTCCTCTTTCCAGCTTCCTGCCCCAGCTCAGGCTCTACCCCTGGTCAGGGGCCCTTCAGGCCCAACAGGCCCAGTTGTCCCACCTTCCCTAGGCTTGGGGAATGGGGGACAGGTACCCTTTTAGGGAACGAAGGGATTTCTGTGCAGCCCCAGTGTCCACCTGGTGCTTGGCACCAAAATGGCACTCAGGGCCTGGTAACTGCTGCAGTGACAGGAAGAAAGAAGTAAAGTAAGCAGCGGGTGAGCATCAAGTCCCATCCCTGGCCCTTGACCCTGCTGACCTGTGAAGTGTGAAGTAGGCACTGGCTCAGCCAGGCTGTCCTCCGAGGGCATCTCTTCCCGCCTCCCTGGCTCGCTGCTCAGCTGTGTGGGGAACAGGAGACCTCTGAGCCCATTCCTCCCCCAACACTGCCATTAAGAAACCTGCAGTATGGATCGGAGTGCCTGCAGCCTGCCAGCCCTCAGGAGGCTCTCTCCCCACCCCAGACCCCTCAGAGACCGGGAGTGCATCTGGCAGCTCCCAGGCCCCAAGGAGTGGAGACCTCCAGGGGTAAGAGATCAAGCAGGGCCACAGGGCCAGCCTTCCACCCAAGCCCCATCCCAAGAACCTACCTTTCCAGAGGGTTTTCCACAGCCCTGAAGAGGGCCCACCAAGCCATTTCGGGGTCCACAGGCTGACCAGGGGTTCTTGGGGTCAGAGGACACTGGCTGGAAGTCACCATACTCAGTTTTGGGCTCCCGCCAGCTCTTGGGTGGCAGCTCCTTGCCATCTACCCTAGAGGCAGCATTGCAGATAGGGGTGAGGAAAGCCTGGGCCCAGGTCGTTCTGGCTTTGCTCCCTCCAAAAGGTGTGGGCCTAGTGAGGAACCCACGACCCTCTGCCCCTGGGGAAGGGGACATATCCCTGGTGGTTGGCCCCAGCAACCCCGCCTGACACTGAGAACAGTCAGAGACTCTAGAGAAAATCACAGAGGAACAGCAGGGTTAGGGAAGATGGGAGAACTCATCGAAGCTATGCAGGGTCACACCTAGAGATCATTTGATAGTGTTGGCAAGTAGACGGCAGAACAGGTCACGTCCTAGCCCACAGAAGGCACACTTGCTTTCCCCAGCTAAACTTCAGAGCATACTTGCTGTCCAAATCACACCCTACCTGTGGCCCAATTCCTGAGGACATTCTGCCTTATCTGGTCCAGACAGAGCAAACCCAAGATGGGGTGGCCCCTTCTCTAAACCACAGCTCCCATTGCTGGGTCTGCAGCAGGTGCCAAAGGGCAAGATAGGCCTAAGGGGATCCTCCTTGTTCTACAGGATGGAAAACCCCAGAGGAAGAACTTCATCAGGCCATGGTTAGGAACCAATATTCCCTTGACTACTATGTGCAGGCACTTACACAGGCTGCCTCATCAGACACAGGAGACAATTCAGGAAAGTGTGGACTGTTCACTCTCCCCAAATGATTAACTGGGTCTTACAAGTCTGACGTCAGACAGCGAGAGGTGGAGAGCAAGGCATAAACCCATCTTTCCTCAGTCAAGCCACCAACCCCTAGATCCTTTGGTGACATTTTCTTGACCCCCCAACCCCTTTTAACCTCTGTGAAGCCCAAGCTCCCAGGACAGGCAGTCCCAGCACAGTCCCTGGTATGTACTCCCGTTATCGATCACCTGGTAACTTGTCCTAGGCTCTCACCTGTTGAGTAGCTGCTGCATGAAGGTGTCTGCGCCCTGGTACATACCAGCCAACTGGCCCTGGACCTGCCCCAGCCCTGCACTGGGCCCTGGTGCTGGTCCCCCAGCCCGCGGCTGGGCCCTGCTGCTCAGGTAGGCCTTCTCCTCCTCCAAAGCCCGACGCAGGTCTTCTGCCTTAGCCATCAGCTTGGAGATGTTGAGGCTCTCGGCTTCCAGCTTCCGGGCTTCCACCTTGACCTCTTTCCGAAGTGGGGAGCCCCCGCTGGCCCCTTCCTTGCTCTTGGTGGCCTCTGTGCGGCGGTTCAGTGCTGGCAGCTTGCTCTTCTTAAGGCCAAACCAGCTGGCGATGCTGCTGGTGTTGCGGTGCTTGGCCTCAGTGCCTGGTGCCCGCTCCTGGCCCTGGAGCCGCAGCACATTCTCCTCAATGCCCTTCATCACCTTCTCCTCAATAGCCGAATGTGGGGCTCGCCCCTCAGGCCCCTGGCTTGGGTCAGTGGGTCCTGGTGCTGAGGGTGAGGGCTGAGCTGTGGTGCTGCCGCAGTCTGCCCAAGGTGGGCCCTTCCCCTTATCAGGCTTGGGGGGCTCCTTGGTAGCTGGCGAGGCCACAGGTCGGGGCACTGCCTTGGTAGGTGACTTGGAAGGTAGCTTGGTCGGGCTGCCGTGGGGACTCTTGTTGGGCTTGCACAGGCTAGGTGCTGAGGTTGGCACTTTGGCAGGGGTGCGGGGTACCTGGGGACACAGGGCCCCTGCCAGCCGGCTCTTGGCCAGCTCCACTTTGGTGAGGCAACTCCTTGGTGAGACAGGTTCCAGGTCCACCCGGGCCCCCATGGAGTGGGAGGAGTAGACTCTGGCCCCTGGGTCCCCCAGGAGCCCAGGGTCCTGCTGCTTCAGGCTGCTCGTGCCCAAGGCCACTGCCCCCCGCAGGGCACCCTTGGCTTCTGACTGTTCAGGGGCCCTGGGGGTGGGGGATGCCATGTCTCCAGTGCTCTCCCCTGACTTTCCTGCTCCCCGTGCCTTCTCGGTGCCAGGCTTGACTGGCACCCCATTCTTCTCTGGGCCCTGGGACCCTTCAGAGCCAGTCTTCAGTTTCCCCAGGGCTGCCAGTCTGTCCCTCAGAGGTGTATAGCCAGGATCCCCAGGTCGCCGCCCTGCCCCCTGGCTGGGCTTCTTGGATGAGCTGCTTGGGGTCCTGCGGCCAGGATGGGGAGACTCTGAGCCTGCCTTGTCCAAACTCTTCTCCTGGGGACTCCCATAGGGGCAGGATTCTGGGAGGCAAGGGCTAGGGGAAACTCCGGGGCTTCTGAGGACCTCAGGGGCCTGCGGCACCTCTAGAGTTAGTTGTGGGTAGGTGGGCACCTGCAGTGGGGATGGAGGTGGCTCTGGGGAAGGCCCCCTAAAGGTGCTCCGGGAAAGGTCCAGGATGTTCTCGAAGCAGGGAGACACCACTGGTCCTGGGGACAGTGTGGAGGTGGACAAGGGTGGCTGGGGAGGTCGGAGTTGTGTAGAGTCTGGGGTTGTGGGGCAGGGTGAAGGGCTGGTGGGCAGGCCCTGGGCTCCTTCTGGGGACAGCTCTCCTCCCCCCAGGCCCCTGCGGGTCAGCAGTGGGGAGGGGCTGCCATCGGAGCCACTGTTCCGGCAGGGGATTCGCGAGTTTCGGGGGAACTGGGGGCTGAGCTGGGGGCCTCCTGGGCTAGGGACCTTTTCCGAGGCTGGAGGCAGCTTTAGGAACTTGAGACCTCTGGCTGGAGAGGGCAGAAGGGGTCCCTGGGCTTCTCCGGGAGAAGTGGGGCCAATTTGGAGCTTGCTTTTCACCTGAGATGAAGAGTGGGGGTGGCCAGGTCGTGAGCCCAGGGAGGCATCCCCTGCACCCACAAACATGCTGAGGAAGGGGAGGGGCCCCTGGCTCTCTGAGGTAGCACCAAAGCCTGGCCTGTGAGCCTCTGGGATACCCCCACCCCAAGGTGACTTGGGGAGGCCTTTGGACTTGGGCAGCTGTGGGGGCCTCTGGTCTGGAGAGGATGGCTGCCCAAGACCTGGGTGGTCCCCGTTGAGTGGGCCTGCAGCCCCAGCCAGGAAGGCCTGTAGGTATGATTCTGTGTCCTCAAGGAGCTGACCCAGGTTCAACTGTTTTCGGGCTAGGGCCCCGAGCAGGGAGTCGGGGCTGGGTGCCTCATTGGGGTCACCTGCCTCATCAGAAGAGGAGGAGCTGCTGCTGCCTGGGGCACAGGGTGGGCCAGAGCTGGTACCCTGGGCTTGCGGGGAGCCCCTAGCAGGGCCCCAGAGCCGCCCAGAACCCTCTTCCTCCCCTGGGCCCCCTAAAAGGTGCTCCCAGTGCAGTAGGCCTCCCAGACTACTAGGGCCTAGTAGCAGGTAGGGGGCCCAGGGTGAGGGTTCTGCCTGGGGTGGGCCACACAGCTCGCCATTGATGGGCTCTGGAGAGCCAGGACCCTCGCATGGAGGCCGCCAGGGGGCAGCAGGTGAGCACAGAAGCAAGGGGTCAGTCTCTTCCAGGGCTCTCAGCACCTCCAGGATCTGGGCTTTCTTTCGAAGGAATGGGGACAGGGCATCCAACACTGGGGGTGGAGCGGCCGGGGGTCCTGGGCCTCCTGGACGCAGCTGCTGCTCCCAACACACCTTGGGGGAGAAATGGCATGAAGAGGAGACCATGTGCAGACCCAGAACCAGAGCTGGGCATAACTGAGTATGTTAGGAACAGAGCTGGCCCGGTTTTGTCTGTGTCCCCAGAAGAAACTGATAGCTCCTGGGATATGATGGTTTGGCT